CGACTAAAACCTAAATTAGAATTATATGTAAATTTATGCTTAATTAGAATTGTAGATCTGGCAAAATCCTGACTTAACCCCCAAGTCAAGAAAGGGCAAATCCGTCAAATCAACTCATAAACCCTTGAAACCGTTATTTACGACTCCAAATACCGAGCCCTAAAACCCTCACACTATTTATCAATTTTCACGCGTGCTTCTTTTCTCTCTGTTTTCTTCTCCCACAAAGTTTGGATACACAGAGAAAACAGAGAAAAAAATCATACAGAGAAAAAATGGCGAGTTTCTCTTTGTTCCAACGTCTTTCTAGAACTTTCCGTGACAATCACAGAACTGTTAAGCTTGTTCTTCTCTGCACCGCCGTAAGGTAGTATAGTTCAATATCTTCAACTTCATTCTTCACCGTTTCATTGATTTATTTATTATTATCATTGTTTATTACACGATCGTGTTTGCTTCAATTTTGTATTCACTCTACCGTTAATGTTACAGTTATCATCAAAGCAAAAAATAAAAAGTTAGATCTATATTCTATACATTTATTTAGTTATAATTTTTTTTATGTTAATGTCAATAATCATCTCCTTGAGAATTTACTCTGTTTTAAATACATTGTGTAGATAGATCAAAGTTTTAAATAACGGCCACGGTAGCATAAAGATCGCATAAAAGTTTTTGCGATTTCAGTCGGTACATATTTTGTCGGAGTGTGAATTAACTGTATCCGTATCGGCACATTTTTGCTGTAACGGACAGTTTTTAAAACTTGTGAATATATAATTGTAGATCCGCGTTATGTGACGGATTTTGTGTGTGGTTGATATGCAGTGGTGGTGGAATTGTGGCATACGGTGAGTTGGCTCCATCGGAAGCGGTTGTTACCGATAGGAAAAAGGTGGTGGTGCTCGGAACTGGTTGGGCGGCAACAAGTTTTATGAAGAATTTGGATAGTCCAAAGTATGAAGTTCAAGTTATTTCGCCTCGAAACTATTTTGCATTCACTCCTTTGCTGCCTAGCGTGACGTGCGGAACTGTCGAAGCGCGCAGCATTGTTGAACCTGTTCGTAATATTTTTAGGAAGGTAAAGAGTTTAAATGCCGCTCAATTTCTCTTTACTAACTGACCATTGCTTTTTCAAATTACTCCTACATTTTTTTTTCTTAAAATTTTATAACCAAAAAACATGATTAATTAACTGACCATTGCTTTTTCAAATTACATATATGTATATTTAATATTATTAGTAATATAAACATGATTAATTGATAATTTTTCTAAAATAGAATTCTTACCTTGAAATCAATTGCAGTGTATTATAGTAAAAAAAAATTTACACATACATACATGTAATAAAATTAAATGCCATCATGATGTCGGTTTGTTAGGTCACTTCATGCCTCTCAAGTCTCTACAAATATCTATCTATGTATTGAAATATGATGGGATGCATTTGTAAAACTATTTTAATGAATATATACATGAAATTTAAGGGAATTTAGATAAATTATTTTGTAATTACCTTATGTTATACGTGCATGAACAATCTAAAATATAATATTATTAATTTAACAGAAACAACAATAATATAATATAATATAATAAAGAACTACTTATAATATATTAATAAAGAACAACAATAATATATTAACCAGTTGTCTATTTTATTTTAATCCTACATATTCAAAGTATGACAAAACCTTTAGTCAGAAAAAGTGTGACCAACCTAAAAATGGAATTATGACAACTAAATGTAGTAAAATTTGTCTCTATTCTATTTTGTATCATTTAAAAAAATCATTTCTCTATTTCATTTTAGTTTTACGATCAAAGTCTGACCAACCTAAAAATAGAATTATGACAGTCAAATGTAGTATAATTTGTCTCAAATATGTACAGAAATTTCTTTTATTGGGTAGGTTTTAAGGGTTGGATTTAGATTTCCCCGTATAAAAAAATATCACATTTTCTGCAGTCATGCATTGTGATTTGTGAGGATTATTGAAATTTTAAAAATTTATTTCAACAACATTTAGTTTTTTCAAAAGTGATATATATAATTAGTTCCTTTTTTACCTGTTTTCATCGGAGCAGAAAAAGGTGGACGTGCAATTCAGTGAAGCAGAATGTTTCAAGATTGATGCTGAAAATAGAAAAGTTTATTGTCGATCTAATGCAAACAATAGTTTGAATGGAAAAGAAGAATTTGTTGTGGACTATGATTACCTAATCATCGGCGTGGGCGCTAATGTCAACACATTTAACACACCAGGAGTGGTGGAGAATTGTCATTTTCTGAAGGTAGCTACCGTCGTGTTCATAATCCGTAGTTACTATGGTGACTAAAGACATTGATTCTGTTTATTCTGGTAATTTGTAGGAAGTTGAAGATGCTCAGAAGATTAGAAGAACAGTTATCGACTGCTTTGAGAGAGCAAACTTGCCTGAAGTAAGCGAGGAAGAAAAGAAAAGAATTCTTCATTTTGCTATTGTTGGAGGTGGGCCAACTGGAGTAGAGTTTGCAGCCTCACTTCACGACTTTGTCAATGAGGATTTAGTCCGGTTATATCCTGGGATAAAAGATTTAGTAAAAATTACAGTTCTGGAAGCTGGAGATCATATCTTGAGCATGTGAGGATATGAAACATTAACCACATTTTGAAATTATTTGTTCTGATGATACCTTGTCAAATAGTTTGTCACATTTGATGTGTTTTCTTTACTCTTTTCATAGGTTTGACAAAAGGATAACTGCTTTCGCTGAAGACAAGTTTCATAGAACTGGAATTGATGTGAAAACAGGATCCATGGTTGTGAAAGTATCTGAGAAAGAAATTTCCACCAAAGAGCTGAAAAATGGAGGAAATATTACTACAATTCCATATGGAATGGCTGTCTGGTCAACTGGTATCGGCACTCGTCCGTTTATTAAAGATTTCATGTCACAAATTGGTCAGGTGTGTTGTTGAGAAATTTGTCTATATACATTTCCTAGTTCCATTTTATTTACTATTCTTTAAGTATTCTCTCTTCTAAACAGGCTAGCAGACGTGCTCTAGCTACTGATGAATGGTTGAGAGTTGAAGGATGCAACAATGTATATGCACTCGGTGATTGTGCTACGATAAATCAGCGAAAAGTCATGGTAAATACTATTTCATCATCAGACTTTCTGTTACATGAGTTTCTTAGTTGTGTTTTTCATTGAAGCCATGCATATAACTTTGGAGAAATAAAAGCATCTATGATTCCTTAACTATCAAATAATGCACATTTGCTTGATTACCAATTAATATATGATGTATTATTTGACCTGTATTTCAATTCAAATGTACTCTTTTTTAATGTTGATTTTTTATTGGCTTGACTTTGGCATTTCAGAAAGATATTGCGGCAATATTTAAGAAGGCTGACAAACACAATTCAGGAACACTTATGGTCAAAGAATTTCAAGATGTCATGAAGGACATTTGTGTACGATATCCTCAAGTTGAGCTGTATCTGAAAAGTAAACAGATGCGCAACATTGCTGATTTATTGAAGGAAGCCAGAGGAGATGTTAAAAAAGAAACAGTTGAACTGAATATCGATGAACTCAAAACAGCACTTTCCAAAGTGGATTCTCAGATGAAATTTCTCCCTGCAACAGCGCAGGTGCATGTTGCGAGTTATCTTATTTGCATGTGGCATTCCCTTGAATAGTACTTAAATTAAGCATGTTTCTCATTGATTTGAAATCTTTGTCAGGTTGCATCTCAACAAGGAATATACCTAGCCAAATGTTTTAACCGAATGGAAGAGTGTGAGAAAAATCCAGAGGGTCCTCTCAGGTTCAGGGGAGAAGGTCGTCATCGCTTCAATCCCTTCCGGTACAATAAATCTAAATCTTAGAAGCTCTCATATTTAACCCAATTTCATTTACACTATACAAATTTCAAGTTTTTTACTCATTGTTGTACGTCGTTGTTGCTTGCTCCCTAAGGTACAAGCACTTAGGTCAGTTTGCTCCTTTGGGAGGAGAACAGACAGCTGCCCAGCTTCCCGGAGATTGGGTTTCAATTGGTCACAGCAGTCAATGGTTGTGGTATTCTGTCTATGCAAGGTATTGTTTATGTATACATTCTCAACTATTTGAATTTTGAGACATTCTTCTCATCAAGTTACTGATTCTCATTCAATCTTTTGAACAGCAAACAAGTAAGCTGGCGTACGAGGGCGTTAGTAGTTACAGACTGGACAAGACGTTTTATTTTTGGGAGGGACTCAAGTCGCATCTAAAGAGGTTTAGCACTTTCCAGTATCTTCATTGGCATCATGAAGAATGTCGTTAATTTTGAATTTCTTTTGAAAAAGGAAACATTTTAGTTACAATTCCATTATTTATTTTCTTAAGCAAAAAAAACTCCACCGATTCTTTGCACATGCGCACCCCTTGCTGCCTTGTTGGGCAAGGCACAGATGAGATTTCTTCACCAGCATACCAGATTTGGTCCAAATATTGATGATTTAGTTTTTATTAGGCAATTTGATGTTATAGTTATTCTCTTTGTTATTTCCCCAATGTCCAGTCTTGTCAGTAAAATTACTGAAACTTTGTAAAGTACTATTAAGTTCGAAATTTTATTTACACATAGTGTTAATTGCATTTTTCTCAGTTTAATTTTTAACCAGTAGCACAAAAGAAATACTTATTCCAAGACATGCTCTCACTTTTCTTTTACTACAAAAGAATATACTATTGTGCAGAGAAAAAATATGAAGTACATGGAATATAAATTTAGCCATTTTTTGTTGAAGTTTGAAAGACAAATAATCAGATTCATCAGAAAGTTCAATTGATGGAAGCTTATTCTCTTGTTATTATAAACAAGAGAGTAGCATTTTTTGAGCCACATTTTGCACAAATTGCAAGAAAAGTGCCACAGATAACCTACCTATAACCCACACATTTGAGAATGGAAAAATTGAGCAGCAATATAGTAAGGACCCCTCAAATTAAAGTATTAAAATTGGAAGTCGGAATCATCCCATTGAAGAACAGCAGAATCAATGTTCTGTTCCCTTTTGAGCCTGTCTTTTAGGAACCAATCACATACCTTTCCAGCATTGAGCTCCTCTATTGGACAACCTTCTTGTTCTGATACCACTTTTAGTAAATTCAATGAAGATATCTACAAACACAAACAAAATGAAAATTCATTCAATGAAAAAACATAATCCTAGGAGATATCGTATGACAAGACAACAGAGTTAAGGTAAGTACCGTTAACCGGCATAGAAAACGCTCATGAGTGCTCAACCCAGACATCTCAACCAAACCAGCTTCTTCAAGTGTCAAAAACGTTCTCCTCTCACTTTTCTTTTCTCCTGCACTGCATTTGATTTCTCTTCTATGTACTTTAATCTTCCTCTGTGCTATCAGGCTTGTTTGTGTTTGTCTATGTTGATTTATACCAACGTTTGAAGGCTTGAACAAAATTGTTGTTTGAAGACAAAATTTATAAGGTTGTAGAGAAATCATAATTTCCTTGCTGAGAAGAATATATCAATGCAATTGGGACTTATCTAATGCTTGTTTTTTATTTAATTTAATCTAAAAGATTGATTATCTGTTATTCTTTGTGTGGAGGAGGGTGATGGGAATTTCAAACCATTGGGCCGCCAATATTTTGACTAACTTCAATCCAACTTGGCCCATTATATCAGACGGGCCTGTAACATCTTCGCAGTAAGTTAATAAAGCCCATATATATGTTTCATTTTGGTAATTTCTTAACGTACCCTTATTCAGAGTGATTTCGGTGATGCATATCCGAAATAGAGTAATTTTGGAGTTACTTATCCGAATTGTGTCAAATTTTATAAAAAAAAGATTGTTTTGGATATGCATTTCTGAAATAAAAAAGTATTTTAAACATTTGGCATGAGTTTATTAAGAAGGTGTAAGAGTAGATCAAGAAATTCTCTTCATTGCAGCTTCAATTCACTCTCTCAAAACCCTATGTAGGTTATGCATAGTTTACCATGATTTAAGTGCTACTAGTACAATATTTGTCACAATATTATGAGGTCTTTATTTAAAAATAGTTTAACCACGTAACAAATTTTGGACTTTTTGTGGGAATCCGCTCATGCCCTCAAAGAAGGCCTGACTTTAATAAGTATTATTTTTTTTGTGTCAAAAACAAAACATTGACCACTTCTGTTACAAAATAACTTAGGAAACATATAATCATAATGATAGAATAGAACTCAGACAATTATAAATGATTGATACAATAATCTGCAAAGCTTTATGCATAGATACATACACGATACATCGATAGATTTACAAGACAGATTGGGTAGCTACAACATAGATATTGAAACACATTTGTTAGATCAATTGGGACCCCAACAGCTCAAATACATAACAGTCCTAAGAGACTCTTCAGCACGTTTAATCTTGTCACCTTTGAAAGAAGACGATGAATTATCAAAAGAAGAATTAGAGAAAAGCCTAGCTTTAGCTTGCTTAGAAGAAGTAGAATCCCTTAGAGATTTGATAGTTGAATCACCACACTTAGAGGTTTGATCTTTCATGCTCTGAAGTGTTCTCATTGCAGTTTGGTACAACACTCTCCCTGCGTACCTCAAACTCATAACAATTCTTTTTATATTGAATGAAAAGTGAAGAAGAAGAAGAAGAAGAAGAAGAATCTTTCTGTTTTGATGATTTTGTTGCTGAAAAATCGGTGTTTAAGAATATGACAGAATGAATGAATGGGTTATTGACTTATTGTTTTGTTTTATAAAACGGAAAGAAAGAAAACATGGGGCTACCTGTTGAAAGAGGTTGAAACAACCGGCTGAGAACAACGGGCATGACTAAAATCTGTGGGCGGAGGAAGGACACGTGTCGGTCGCATCATAGAGACACGTTGGATTTGCGATATTTACGTGTTCAATGACGCAGTTATGTTTGTTTTTCGGTTGGGATTGAATGGACTTAAATCAAACAGAGATTTCATTTAGTTACTGTATTTGGATTTTGATTGATATATGATGACACTCGTACATGTAGACGTAGATGCATACGAATATTTCCTTTTGTTTTTCTACGTGTTTCTCGCTTTGTACTGTATCCATGTATCCAGCAGGTATACAGCTCACGGTTTTATCCTATTTTTGGAGACGCAGATTCTTTATGTTAGAATAGAACTGTAACAATTAATTGAGAATGAAAAAGGTGATTCTTTTATTATTATTTGATTTCTTTTAAATAATCTAAGTACAACTGAAAAATCACAACTTTTAGGAATCAATTACTATTAAGTTCTTTTATAATATACAACTGAATTATTCAACTAAAAACTTGTTAAAATTCTAACAAACTAAATTATTCAACTAAAGACTTGGTAAAATCTTAAAAAATCTTTCCCTAAACTACATGCTGAAAGCATAGTAGTTTAATTTGGAACCTCCAGCACTCCTAGAGTCTTCCTTAATCTTGTGAATGTCTCGAGCTTAAGTGGCTTTGTCATAATATCGACTATTTGATCTTGAGTTCCACAATGTATCAACTTCACTCTTCCTTCTCTAGTTTGATCCCTCATATAATGAAATTATACCTCAATGTGCTTGCTTCGATCATGAAATATCAATTCTTTGAAAGTTGAATTGTAGAACTGTTATCACACTTAATCACAATGCAATCATCATGATTCTTTCCAATCTTGTCAAGTATTATTTTCATCCAAAATTCCTTGAGTTGCACATGATATTGTTGCTATATATTCGGCCTCTGTGGTTGATAGAGCAACAATGGGTTATTTTTTCGAACTTCAGGCAATGGCTCCTCCACACATTAAAAAAAATAAAATCTGATGTACTTTTGCGATCATCTAGATCACCGACATAATCACTATCTGTATATGATAGCACTTTCTCATCTCCTCCTCGTTTGTATAATATTCTAAACTCCATTGTACCTTTAATGTATCGAAGTATCCTCTTTACTACCTGAAAATGTGCTTTAGTAGGTACAGACATGTATCGACTAGCCAGAGATACAACAAACATCAAGTCAGGTCGTGTAACAGTAAGGTACATTAGGTTGCCTATCATTTGTTTGTAGAGCGTGATGTCTACCTCAGCTCCTCCTCCTTTCTTTGAGAGTTTCACACCTGGTACTATGGGATTGCTCACTCCATTGTTGTTCTTCATACCAAATTTTTCAAGTATATCTCTTGTGAACTTTTGTTGACACATGTAAACTCCCTCTTCTTTCTGCAGCACTTCCACTCCAAGAAAATACCACATTTTCCCAAGACCAGTCATATCAAAGTTTCTTTTCATTGACTCTTTGAATGAAAGAAACATTCTTTCAGTTTCCAGTGAAGATTAAGTCATCTACATAAAGACTGACAATCAAAATATTACCTTTGTTTTCAATTTTGATGAACAAGGTGTGTTCGAAGTCACACTTTTCGAATCCCTCTTCAGTAAAATATTTTTCAATCTTGCTGAACCATGCTCTTGGAGCTTGCTTTAGCCCATACAATGCCTTTTTCAGCCTATATACCTTCCCTTCTTCTCCTTTCTTAACAAACCCTTGTGGTTGCTCGACATACACCAACTCACTAAGCTCTCCATGTAGGAATGCACTCTTTACGTCAAGTTGGTAGATATACCAGTTCCTTTGTGTAGTAGTAGTTGTAATGAGTCTGATTGTATCCCACCTTGCAACTGGTGCAAAAACTTTGGAATAGTCTACTCCAAACCTTTGAGCATATCCTTTCGCTACTAGTATGGATTTGCATTTATCTACATGTCCATGCTCATTAAGTTTAGTTTTAAAAACCTATTTAACACCAATAGATGTCATACCTTTTGGAAGTGAGCTCAACTCCCATGTATGATTATGTTCAATGGCTTCAATTTCTATTTGCATAGCCTTTCTCCATTCTGCATGTTTTGCTACCTCTTTATAGGTTAATGGGTCTCCTTCAAAAGTAAGGACTTGAAAGGCTTGGGTCTCAATGAACATTGCTTCTTCTTCTTCTTCCTCTGAAAGCCTGTCTCCAGAGACATAATCTTGGAGATATACAGGTTGTCTGACTTTTCTTATCGCTCTACACCCTCCTGCAATTAAGCTATTAGATGAGGAGCTCTCTTGTTCTTCATGACCTTGCTCATGTGTGGTGTCTACTACTTCAGGGAAAGAATCCTCCTCATAGCCTTTAATATTCTCTCCATCATTCTCCCATGTGAGTACATTAGAAGTTGTACTCACATGATCATCGTTCCTTCCCCAATCTCAAGCTTTATTTTCTTCAAACACAATATCTCAGTTGATAATTATCTTTTTAGAGTTAGGATTGTACATTCTGTATGCCTTGGGCTCCTCACTGACACCAAGAAAATTTCCTTGCAGCTTTTGTTATCAAGCTTGGTTCTTCTTGCTTTTGGAATGTGAACATATCCAATGCACCCAAATGTTTTGAAATGACTTACATTTGGTTTGAGGCCACTACATGCTTCTTCTGGCGTCTGTTCTTACAGTGTTGATGTTGGACTTCAATTCAATACATAAGTTATCCATTTCTCTCCCTCGGCCCTGCTGGTCATTATGGGAAATCCTGATAGGAGATTATGTGGGATCAGGTTCTATTGGGTCAATGATTGTTATATCTGGTTGGATCACTAACCATATCATTGCAAGGTTACTTGAGAGACTGAGTGAAGGTCTGATCTCAAGAAGATAATGGTTTTTAGTCATTATGGAAAATCCTGATAGGAGATTCTGAGGAATTGGATTCTGTTGGGTTAATGGTAGTCATATCTCAAAGAGGACTGAGTGAAGGTCAGACTCTTGTGAGATCCGTGATAATTCTTTTGGCATCTTTTGGTTCGATAAAGTGTTGCGCACCATATTCATGATTGTTTGGTTCCTCCTCTCCACTACTTTATTTTATTAAGGAGTATACGTCGTTGTTAATTTCCTTCTGATGCCTTGAATCTTATAGAACTCATTAAATTCTTGCGAAGTGAACTTTTCGCCTCGGTCTGTTCTGAGGCAGCATATTAGAGACCTTACTTATTTCTCAATAATGGCTTTGAAACTCTTAAAGATAGTTAGTGCTGCTGATTTTTATGAAATGGGATAACTCCATATTTTCCTATTATGATCATCAATAAAATTTAAGAGATACCTCTTTTGACTGTTTGACATTGGAGTAATTGGGCCCCATGTATCTGCATGGACAAGTTCCAAATTTCTTGATTTCCTCCAACTGCTTTTCCTTGGGAATGGTTCTCTTTTCTACTTCCCCATGAGACAATCTTCACATAGATTTGTTGGCTCTCCTATATGTGGCAGTCCAGTAACCATATTCTCTGAATACAAAGTTTTCAAACTTTTAAAATTTAAATGTGCATACCGGTAATGCCATCGATGTGCATCCTCAAAGGTGATGGCTTGGAAACATGATTATGCATTAGCTCTTCTTCCCAGGATTGCAAACATTCTATTTGCACTCATTTTTGTGTCCATGATGACCCCCTTAATTGGGTGATAAATTATGCACGTATTATCTTCAATTACAATTTTCAACTTTCTTTCTTGCAATTTTCTTATGCTCAAAAGATTATTGCTTAGATCTGGAACATAATACATGTCCTTGATTACTTGAACCAAGACATTTATCTTAAGCTTGATACTCCCTTTCCCATGAACCATCGTGCTTGTATTGTTTCCTAGCTTCACTGAGTGCTTAAACGTTTCATCCATATATGAGAACCATTTCTTGATTCCAGGCATATGGTTGTTGCACCCGCTATCAAGACACCATAAACCCTCCATCTTTGCGCCTTGTATCTCCATATGTGCCATCAGTAAGAGTTCTTCCTCTTTATTGAACTCCACATAGTTAACTTGCTTTTCCCCAATAGAACATTCAAATTGAAAATTCCCAAACTTATGACATCTATAACATTCTATTTGAGTTTTGTCAAGCCCAAATCTTCCATGGCCACGTCCCCGGCCTCTGAATTCTCCTCTGACCCTTCCTCATACTCCACCAAAGCTTCCTTCTCTTGAGGATGTGATCTGCAAAACCGGTTCTTCCTTTACTGTTGCCTTTGGGTGATGTCTCGTGATCTTTTGCTCATGACACAACAACAAACTCTGAAGTGCATCCACCGTGAGACTGTCAATATCTCTTGACTCTTTAATTGAACATACTATGTATGTGAATTTCTCTGAGAGTGTGCGCAAAATCTTCTCCATAATTTGGTTTCCCTGCATATCCTCTCCAAGGTTTCTCATCTCAGTTGCTACTAGCAATACCATAGAGAAATAATCTGCAATGGTTTCCTTGTTTTTCATCTCCAGTATTTCTAACTCCCTTCTGAGGCGTTGAAATTATGCCCTTTGAACGCGCTTACTTCCTTGATATTTGGTTTTGAGTGACTCCCGCAATTGCTTAGAGGTATCCTTTTGAATTCTTATTTTCAGAATTGATTTATCTATAACTTGGAATAGATAATTTTTTACTTTAAGATCTTTAAGCTTGAGATCCTCCAAAGTTTATCTCTACACTCCATTCAGAATTTCTCCT